CTACATTGCATTGCCCGGCCCAGGCCTTCCTAGCATCCCAGGTCTGAAGAGGAGAGGAGAGGAAGAGAAGAAGGAGGAGAGGTCTGTGCAGCTCCCAGAGCATGGGTCAGGAAGCCTGCCAGGGAGATTGGGACACTGGAGAAGCCAGCTCTGCCTCTTGGCACTCGGCCCTCGCAGCTCCTGGGGGCTGGCTGCCTGCAGTCCCTGGGCTGGCAGGTGGAGGCCCGTGGCTGGGGCAGGTGGGGGTGTGGGGGGGCATCCATCACTGCCAGCAGCTCACACCAGCCCTGCCAAGTGGTGGTGGAACGGGGCCCAGGTGCCAATGTGCCTGGTAACTGGATTGCTATTTGAAAAATTGCAGTGGTTGTCCAGAAAGCCTAACCTCCACCTTCATATCAGGAGTCTGGAGCCGGGCGGGTGGTGGCCAGAGTGGGGCTGTTTGTCCAGGGTGGCCAGTGGGAAGGTGCCCCGGACGGGACAGATTACAGCGAAGGACGTGACCCGCCCAGTGCTGGGTGGAGGGAGTGGCACAGGGCAGGGGGCAGAGCACACAGTCGGCACCAGCACAGGAGGGTTATCCAGTGCCTGCTGGCTGCCAGGCGATGGTGCCAGGTGCCAGGGATATGGAGGTAGGGGTGGCGTCTCCAGGACACACAGCACCAAGGCCTGCGATACTTTGAGGGGCTCACTGTGATGGTTTCTTTTAAAATCAGAAGACAAAAGTAGACTTTCATGTTGAATTTTTTCTATGTTTACGTATGATTAAATAGCATTCCCACAAAGTCCATGTGCTCTCAGAATGAGACTTGTGTGGAGGTAGGGTCTTTGTGGATATGAGTGGATGAAGTGAGCTCACACTGCAGTCCAGTGGGCTGTGTCCTTTTAAGAGGAACACATGAAGGATGCAGAGACACATGGACCTGTGAAGATTGTGTGACATCAGAGGCAGAGAGCAGTGTGATGCAACCACTGGCCAAAGACACCACAGCCCCCAGCAGGTGGAAGAGGCAGGAAGGGCTGTCCTCTGGTACCCCTGGAAGAAACCAGCCTGTTGACGCCTTGATTTTGGATGTTGGCCCCAGAACTGTGAAAGAATAAGTTTCAGTTGTTTTAAGCTACCTGGGTTGTGCCTGTGCATTCTGGTAGCTCCCCGGTATGTAGGAGAATATGTAATCATAATTGGCCCCTATTCCAGGGGAGTTGCGAGGTCTGCATTCTGTCACCGTTATTATTGATTTGTTTTGTGGAGGTGGGAACTCTTGAAAGCAAAGGTGCACAGGTCCCACGAGTCCTCCTGAGAGGTGACAGTATCTCTGTCCTCCAGTTCAGCTCCGAGGCTGGACCATGCTAGGTGAAGGGGTTGGGGAGGGGGAGTCCTGGCCAGATGGAGCTCAGCCCCCAAAGAGGTGAGGTACAGGGAAAGAGTCAGAGTCTCAGTTCTGCTTCTGGCCCTGCCACTTCTTAGCTGTGTGACCTTGAGAGGAGATGTGACCTTGTAAGCCTCTGTGGCCTGACCTGCTAATGCGAGGTGCCCTACTTTAGGGGTGCCCATGAGGATCTGGGAAAAAGTACTGTGTGCCCAGTGAGTGCAGCTGGCAGAAGTGCAGGCTCTGCAGAACTTGGTCAGAGGCAAGGGCTAGGGGGTCGGTTCCTCATCTCCAACGCATTTGTCACCTGCCAATACTCAGTGACTTCCTCTGAGGGCCAACCATGGCACCACGCCTGCCAGAGGGCACCAGGGCACTGTAAACAAGGACATTGCGGCCTCCTGAAGTTTTTCATTCAAACAGGGTTCAGAAAGCCAAGCACCTTATGTCAGGGCGGGTCTGAGGGTCCATCCTGCCCTGGGGCCTCATGGGTTCTTGTCCCCAAAGTCAACTCAGCACTGTGCCTATGCTACATAGGCCCAGGAGTCCCCCACCCCACTCCTCTGCCATCCTGAAGTCCCTTCCCTGCTGGGTATCCGGACACTGGGGCCACTTATGCCCAAGGTCCCAATTTGCCAGCAGTGGAGACTGGGTGGGCAGCAGGGCAGAGGCTGTCCCACCATGAGCTGGGCGAGGTCTGGCCTTTTCCTGGCTGCCCAGGGATGGGCCACGAAGGCATCTAGACTGAGCCATCTGATGGGCCACTGAGTTGCAGTGGAGATGTCCAACCCTAAAGCCACCAAACTTACAGGTGGAAGCTGTCACCCCTTCCCAGGACAGGTGCTGCATGGCACACAGAGGCAGCCAGGGCTGCGTCTGGGTACTGTGCACGTGTCACTCCAACTAAACTACTGGGAAAGCCTGAAGTATAGACAGGATTGCAACCCTCCCCTCACGGAAGAGGGAACCGAGGCACAGAGTGGCTGGGACACTAGCAGGTAGCACAGCCAGTTTGAGAGCCTTGGAGAGACTCAGGAGGAAGCTTCTTTCCTCCCCAGGAGTCCAGAGGGCAGGAGGCGGCCATGCATTCCTGCCTGTAGGTGGGGCCCTGCCCACAGGCTTCTCCTGGGCCTTGTTCTGAAGGGCTCAGTGCTTGTTTTCTGACTCCAAACTGGCATGGCTGCAAGGGTCCTTGGCCAGTGAAGAGCAGATGGGGGCATATTGCCCAGCCCCTCAACTTCAGCCTCTTCGTGTAGAGCACTTTGGGCTATGGGATATAGTGTAGACCCAGGTGCTGTAACTTGGGAGCAACCTCTTGGGAGCAACTCCCTTGCCCCCCAGGGAGCAGAATCCATCCTGGACAGGCCTGGATGTACCATGGGTCCCCCTCCTTATCCCCTCCATCCCAGTCCCTAATGGGGAACTCTGTCCATCACCGTACCAAGGGGTCCCCAGGGTGGCTCTGGGGAGGCTCCCTGGAGAGGTGTTTGCTCTTGTGGGCCTGGGTGACCTTGGGCCAGAGGCAGAACTTTCTGAGGACAGGTGAATGTTGAGAAATGAGCTCCAGTTTCTTCCAGAATCATTGCTCTCTTGTGAACTTGGGCTGGTCAGTTTCCCAGGCCTTGGCTCTCTCTCTGGAAAATGGGCCAAGGGGGTGCCTGGCTTGGTGACCCCCGAGGTGTCCCCTAGGACAGCCTTAGTGTTTTGGGGATGAATGCTAGAGTTAGAGCTTGGTGACACTGGGTGACATGGCATCTCTAGGCTTCAGTTTGCTCATCTGTGAAATGGACAGAACCCAGGGACTATTGAAGACCAGACTGCAGGGACACAGCTCACTAGCCACTTAACACATGCCCGACACATGGAATGCACTGTCCCCCTCCCTCCAATTTTATTACTTTCAATGATGAGGATTATTTTGGGGGGAGTTACTGAGCTATGATCAATCCATGCCCCCCCCCCCGACTGCAATTCTGTGCTCTGTCCCCATGCTCTTGCCTTTTCCAGAATGTTCGGTAGAGGAGCCAGGCAGTGTGAAGCCTTTTGTGCCTGGCTCTATCACTTCCCACAGTGCACTTGGGGTCTGTCCTGTTATTTTGCCTATCTCCAGCTCATTCTTGCCTGTGGCTCATCATGCGTGACTATTGCATGGATGCCGTGAGGTCTGAATACCATCCACCAGTTACTGGACAGCCCAGTTGCTTCCTGTTGTGGCTGCTATGAATAAAGGTGCTGTGAACATTTGTGTCTGGGTCTTTGTGTGGTCATAGGTTTTCATTTCTCTTGAGTACCCACTAGAAGGGGTACTGTTGCTGGATTGTAGGTTAAGTGTACATTTAACTTAATAAGTAACTGCCAACCCCTTTTTCAAAATAACCACACCATTTTGCATTTCAAGCAGCCACATTTGAGTGTCCAGTTGTTCCACACCTTTGCCCGCACTTGCTACTGTGAACTTAAAATCTTTGCCACTTTAATACATGTGTAGTAGTTTTAGTTTGCTTTTCCCTATGGTCTGACAATGTGGAACATCTTTTCATTTGCTGCCCTGTTGGTTATTTGCCATTAAATGTCTCAATTCTTCCCATTTTTAAAACTGAGTTTGTCTTACTGAGTTGTAAGAGCTCTTTCTATATTCTGGATGTATTTATCAGATATATATTTTATGCATATTTTCTCCCAGTACATGGCTTTTCTTTTTATTTTTTAAACAGTATTTTTGTTTTAGTTTGATGGACCTAATTTATAATTTTTCCCTTTTTGGCTTGTGCTTTTTTTTTGAATCCTAAGAACCCTATGCTAATCCAAAGTCACAGAGATTCTCCTTTTGGCTTTTTCTGGTTTTCGGGTTGTAGGTTTTATCCTTAGGTCAATGACCCATTCTATGTTGGTTCTGTCCACGGTGCCCAGGGCCACCTCACATGGCCCATAGCTGGCCTGGCCCTTCTCATCATGGCTGCCTCTGACCACCTGGCAGCTGTTGGCCGAGTCTCCTGTGCCAGCTGTGACCATCGCAAGCTGTGCTGCTGGGTTGCTGTGGGAACGTGGTGCCGGGTTCAGCCTTTGCCTGCCCTGTTTGCATCAGGACTGGAGGGTGGCCTTGTCTGGGGGCCCCTAGGCAGGGTCCTACCCACTCCCTGGGAGATGTGAATGCTCGTCAGGCCCTCTGTCTTCCTTCTTGCCGGGCCAGCTGGTGCCTCTGTGGGTCACAGAACATCTCCTTTTTCCTCCCTGTGTCCAATCTGGGATACCTGTCCTATCAGTGCTCAACCCCAGACATGATATCAGACTCAGTCCACGCTCCTCACCCCCAGTGGGTCACTGGCCCCATTTCTTGGGCAGAGAAACCGAGTTTGCAAGAGATTGAGTTGTGGTCTGAGGTTGACAGCTCATGAGTAGCAGAGCCAGGAACTCACTTGGGACTTTGGGGTCCTTGTGATCCTCTGATGCCAGATGTTCCTAGGTCAGCCCTCTGCTGGTCGAGCTGTCTAGATCTGTGTGCGTGGGGAGCCTGGGATGATTGACCCAGTAATTGTCAGCATGAGGTTATTTCAGGGTGGAGGGGTGGCCTCCCACCCTCCTGTGCACTCATGGCCAATTTCTTGTTTTGTGTTTTTTCCCTCATGTTTCCAGGAGGCTCTCACAGAGACATGACCTGCCTGGATGAGCAAGTCAGCCTTGCCTTGGAGGATCAAGTCTCCTGAATGGCGTCCCCACCTGGAGAAGCTCCTCAAGGTGCCATGTCCCTGGTGGACACCAGAAGCAGAAGCAGCCCCACGTGTAGTGCCTGGTATGTAGCAGATGCTCAATAAATGTTTGTAGTACAAATGAATAAACTTGGAGTCCTCCATCTGGTGGATGTCATAAGTGAAAATAAAACTCAATCAACCACACCGGTCAAGGCTAAGTGTCTGGGACAACTTGAGATTTGATGTGTGTCTTCTGGGCCACCTGAGTTCTTGGGTCAGGATCTAGAGGGGAGGATGAGGAGAAGCAGTTGGGGCTGCACCCAGAGACTTGGGACCTGCTGAAATAACATACTGAGCAGCCTAGCTCATGCTACGTGTGCCAGGTAAAATTGTCCCAGGGTCATTTGGAGTCCAGGATGGATTAGGGCAGCAGTTGGCTGAGTCTCCTCTGCCAGCTGTGACCATTCCAAGTAGAGATCCTGGGGCTGGTTGTCCCATGTCCCTGCTGTGGCTCCCTGCTAAGGAGAGGGCTTTGTTGCCGAGGAAGGTAATGTCTACTTGGGGACAGTATGGCCCATATATTCAGACCACTGCAGGGTCTTACTGGTAATGAGGAGCCCCCCAGGAGGAACTGGCCTGGGTGCAGACTTCCACCCTACGGCAGGAAGGGGACAAAGCCAGGGGAGAGGAGCCCCTGTGTCTGGAACCTGTGGTATGTCTCAGTAGGAAAAGCGCGCTTACCAGCACCAGGGTTGGGACCACAACTGCAGAGTGGGTGGTGAGGAATGAGGCTCTAACTCTGAGCCGACCCCGGCGTTACCCAAGTCTTTGCTTCCCTGCTGACCCCAGACACACACAGTGGCCTTTGTCATAGCTGGAGCCACCACAAGTCCTGTCATGCAGGACCTGGAGAGGGGAGGAAACATCCTTGGGTTGTCCAGCTCCCCAGGGAAGATGCTGTCCCCAGCTGGAGGGCTGGAGAGGCACAGACAGGCACAGGAGAGCAAGAGACCGAAGGAGCAGGCTGAATGTGGCCTTGCTGTGGACTTTGCCAGAGGGGGACTGGTGCTTGCTGGGCGCTCTGTACCCCTGGCCAGCCAAGGGACAGAAGGGGTGTGGGCCACCTTGTCCTGCTCTATGGACTGGAGGGTCCTCCCCTGTGCCCAGTGGACAGACTGACGGGCTGTGCATGCATCACTGGCCCTAGGCCCTGGAGGAGAAGGGCAGGGCTCACCTGTGTAAGGGCTGCCCACATGCAGCCTCACCAGCTCCCGGAGGTCAGGGCTTCTCTGCTGTGGCTCTAATGATGTTGAGCTCGGATCATTCTTTGGTGAGCGGTCCTGGGCACCATAGGATGCGTAGCAGCATCTCTGGGGTCTAGGCACTACATGCCAATATCACCCCTCTGGATAACCAAAAGCACCTGCAGACATTGCCGTGTTCCTTGGTGCACAACATCACCCCTGGGTGAGAACCACTGCTTCAAGTCGGTCCTCTTTCAGAGGGAAAAGTGAGGCCCAAGGGAAGGCAACCTGTGGGCTCTCAAGGGGACCTAGCAAGTTGGTAGAGAAGGGGACTCGATCAGCTCAGAATCTCTCTCCCCACGCAACTGAGCTCAGCCTTCCAGTGGCTCAGGTTCCAGGGTGGAGGTGGAGGCTGCTGTGGCCTGTGTCTTCTGAGAGAGCCTCTTTCCATGGATGAACTTGCAGCCCTTCTTGAGGCTGAGGTGCCCTGTGACTTCCAGCCCTGGTGCTGGAACTCAAGAGTGCAGAGCTCATGCTGGCTAGGAAAAAGCCACCAGTTGCGATGCAAATGTGGACAATGGAGGAAAGGTGATTGAGAACAATGGGATACCAAGGAGGTAGCAGGCAGCAGGCAGTGCGCAGGACAGGGCAGATGGAACTGGTGGGCCTGAGACATGGCTGGGCTGAGGGACCTTGGGATGTGAGTTGAAGTCACCTTCACCTTCCGATGGGGGTCACGGGTCCTTCGGGCTGCAGAGTCAGGGAGATGGCGCTTGTCATATATGTAGGCTCCTGCGGCCCTGATAATAGCAGATTCTCATTCTTTCCAGGCAGAGGATTCGCTAAAAGAAGTCAGCCACCTGCCTGCTGGTGACTCTCCGTTCTGCCCTCTCATGGCAGTTTCTTTTGATGCTGAAATAACTTTACCATAGTATCACCCCTCACCTGTACCAGTGGTCCAGGGACAGAGACATGAGGGAGCAAGCAGGATCTTGTCCTGAGGGCTCCCCTTTGGCTGGGTGCAGAGGCCCTTGGAGGCCATGGGAGTGGACACCACACCACAGTGTATGGCAAGTTTACCAAATGAAGCCTGAAGTGGGATAAACCCACGGCCGGACAGCCAGGGTAGGGTTTCAGGGAATGAGGGGAATAAAGACAGGGTTGACCTCAGATTTAAGGAAGAGAAACTTTCAGAAAATCTATAGGAATTCTATTGGTTATGGGGAGTGTATTAGGTATTTATGACTGCATAACAAATATACTCAGATATTTGAACTCAGTTGCTTAAAACACTAAGAAACAGCGTTGCCCCACACAGTGTCTATGGGCAGGAAGTTGGGAGCAGCTCAGCTCGCCTGTCCCGGCTCCTGGTCTTGCATGAGGCTGTGGTCAAGGTGATGGCTGTGCTGCACATCAGGCTGCCTGGGATGTGGACCTGCCTCCAAGCTGGCTGCCCGTATGTTGGCTTTGTGGTCCTGGCTGTGAGTGGCTGTCTCAGTCCCTCCCACACGCATTTTGCACGTGGTTGCATGAGCACCCTTGAAACAGCACTGGCTTCCCCCAGAGTGCTGACCCAGGAGGAAGAGCAACAAAAAAGAGACCCACAGCATCTTTTGTGACCTAGCCTTGAAAAGCACACATGGCCATTGCTATACAGTCCTGTCCGTTCCATGGGAGAGGGGATTGTGTACTAGGGTGTGGAGCCGGGAGGGCAGCCTGGCATGAGGGAGCGTGACTCTAGCGTAGGAGTCTGACGGCATGAAGGGAACAGATAAAGTGGGGGTCCTGGAGGCCTGAGGGCTGGAGGGGACAGAGCGGCTAAGAGGCGGCACACACACCTGGCTTCCTGAAGAGGGCCGTGGTGAGGGAGCCAAACTCTCTGAGCCTTAGCTCTCTGTCTGCAGGAAGGAGAGGGCAGTGCTGCAGGGCGGGCTGACAGGAAGCCCGGATGTAGGGGTGTGATAGGGGGCAGGGTCACCCCGCAGGTCTGGAGGGTGGGAAGGTACGTGGGTGTGGGTGTGGGTGACAGTGGTGGCCTGTGGCTGTGTCACGGGGAAGATAATGAGGCAGGGCAGGAAGGGGACTCAGTCATTAGGAGCCTCGAGAGGGGCTGGAGGGAAGGAGGCTGAGATGTGCTGTGGCCCTTGAACAGCAGTGCACACCCAGGAGCCCTTGGCCAGGGGCAGCTCTGGGATACCACAGGTCTCACGAGCACGTCCAGCGAGGGGCCTGATGTCCAGCCCAGACGGTGGTTCTTGCTGTGGAGTGGGCAGCTATCCAAGGCCTGGATCGAAGAGGAGTGGAGCGAATGTTCTGCTACCCCCACCAGAGACCCCAGGTCTCAGCCTCTGTCTGTCCTCACAGCACTTCCTCTGGAGAGGTCCTGGTGCTCTGTGGGGGCCCCCAGCTCCTCCTGTGACTTTGGGTTGCAGCTACTCTAGACCCCACTGGGCCTGCTGGGTTGCAGTGCTCGGTGGGCTTGGAGACCTGTCAGAGTCCAGCATTCACCCGGCAGGCAGGAAGGACCATGATCTCACGGGCAGCCTTTTCACGCTATCTTAATCCCATTCTTCCTGTCCTTCCCCTGCACTCCCCTCCTGCTCCTGAAACAGATCTCAGAGCTCCAAAACACCGAGGGAACTTTAGGAGTTGGAAGACTGTGTTGTGGCCACAGGGGCTCATTCCTGATAGATGGAGAATGTGCCCGAGGCTTATGCAACGCAGCTTGGCCAGGGTGTCCCCATTGTCCTGCACTCCTGGCTGCAGAAAAGGACATTATTGCGCTGATTTCCTTGGAAACACTAGACAGAGCCTCGCCCGGTGTGTAACTTCAGCTTACCTGGGTGAGAGTCGGATGTTAGGCAGGGGCCGGGGCCAGACGAGGGCTGGCGGCAGGGAGGTGGAGGGAAGGCAGAAGTTCCTCCTGGCTGCCCTCCACCCCAGATATGGCCAGGCTCCCAAACCCACTGTGGGACCCAAGTGACTGGTAAACATGTGCACTCTCCCATCTCTCACACATCACACAGCCTTGGGCACTGGGCACTTTCTATGGGAAGGGGACAAGGTGACCTCAGGACTGGCCAAGAGGTCTGGCTGTCTTGCCTGCACAGAGGATGGAGAAAAGCTAGCATCTGAGCCCACTGTGGGTCACAGCCAAGGACGGGAGCTTCTCCCAGGCACAGCACAGCCCAAGCCACTGCCCTCAGGCTGTGGGGCCAGGCATAGGCCCGATGGCACCAGCGGTGTGCGTTGGGCTCCACTGGGGTCACATGGGGTGGACAGATGCTTTTGAAGAACAGTTCAGGAGAAACTGGCTCAAAAACAACGTTAAAAGTCCCTTTGGAGAAGTTGTCAAAGAGAAGCCAGTGGCTTAAGAAAGAGCTTGCACACCCTGACACAGGCTCAGAGGTCAGAACTCAGCACTTGGTTCAATTCCTTACCTTCTTTTTGCTGTAGTTTGTTTAAAAACAAACACCTATCTCTTAGGAATAATTGTGGAGCCATTTCTCCTGAGGGCGGTGAGGCCACACTGCTAGTTACTCACCTGCTATCTGGTCTCCCTTCTCACTTCCTGAAAGAAGCCTCAAGGTGGTGTTAGAAACAGGCCCAGGGAAGATTCCTGATCTTTCAGCTGCCATGGAATCCAGGGCCATATGACCCTGTTCTGGCTAAAGGAATGTAAGCAGAAGTCCAAGGAAATGCTCTATAATCTTTGCTTTCCTAATACAGGTATCGCCCCTTTCCTGGCTCTGTTTCATTTTTTCCTGGAGCCTAGGTTAAGGTCTGGAGTTGCAGTATCCATATAGAGCCATGTGGATGAATCTATGAGCTCAGGATGATGAGGTGCCTCAACACTGATAGAGTCAGGAAAATGCTGCCCTACCCAATCTTTGTTAGCT